CGGCTTCTGTAGGTCTGTTGTACCCTTTTTTTTTTTTGAACAAGATATGAACTTTTCATTAACATATGAAAAGGAACAAAATTGTTTAAAGATACAAACTCCCAAAGGAGTGAATATAAATAAAAGAAAGCAACAAAGCTAAGGAGTTATAAATGCCTCCCAATTGGAACATATCATACTGTAGGTCTATTGCACCTTTTTTCTTTTGTTTTCCATTTGTCTGTCCTCTCTCTCTATATATATTTTTTTAGGTTTTTATAGGGCAGTTTATTTAAAGGTTTGAAAAATAAATTAATTCTTGTTTTCATTTTCTACACAAAAGATGTCCCACACATCAGGACTCTGTCCTTTGCATCCTTTGCATCTCTCATCATCCATCTCCCCACATGTACAGTTCTTTGATCTTTAAAAAAATATATATATATATTGAATACTCCAAAATGTGTTCTGCGATTATGTCCTAATTGAATCTATGACTGACACTGACAGTCTGCAGAAAATAGCATTACAATGTCCATGCTTTCTACAACATATGATTTGGCCAATCAAATGAGTTATCATGATGAGGAAACTTGACCTCAACAACGGAAAGGACAAACTATAAATGGATTAATCTGCTTAGCACCAAGGGATTAGAAAAGGGAAAAGAAAATTTTATTAAAATTAGATAAGGACAATGACATACCACAACAGAACAAACTCCAGGATATAGGCCATAGCAAATAACTGCACGTATGAGGTATTCATCATGACTCCAAGCATTGTAAGAGTCTGAGTACCCATCAACCAAGCCAGTATCTCTGAGCAAAGAGAAAAACTCCTTCCTTAGTGAATCAATAGCCTTCATCGATTGTAAAGAAAGAAAGTTCTTCCAACAGAAGTCATATGCACCAAAGTTCCTTTCAGCTTCTTTCCATCCCGCATAAGCCCGGATAATAGCAAGGTGATCGCTGCAATCTTGTGAAAATTGAGACTTTGCAGCCTCTGCAGCCTTTAAATAAATAAAACAGAATACATTAATGTGGGAACTGTTTTACTTTCTATTATTTTGATTTTAAATTTATATGTTTTAATAACATAGGAGACTTTTTATTTACTATTTAGTAAAAGAAAATATAGGATAGGGTGAAGATATGATATCACCTATATCTAAAAGAAAATGAGATTACAGAAAAGCTTCACATGGCATCTCTCTCTTCTCTCCAATGATTTCTCCGACTAGAAATTGGTAGTGCATAAGAAGTCCATGCAAAGGGTGGTACCACAAAAAAAGTTCAGTGCACATCCTGAACAAAGTTTTTTATGGCCATGATCTTAGAGGAAAAGCAAGGATTATTTGGATCAACAGTCTAGTCTATTATTCCTGATAAACTGGAAGGCCTTATCCAGCTTTTTTTTCCCATACCTGATACCATCAATGAAATATCAGTTTCTTACCCCCACAAAATTTAAAAAAAAAAAAGTCTTAGTCTATTATTTGGAGTATATTGTATGAGAGGAACAAGAGGAATTTCCATAGCAAAGGAGGAGGAAGAGGAGGAGAAAACGTTTTCTCTTTCTCTGAAATGAATACCCCATGATCTGGAGTGAAAACTTTTTCTCTTTCTCCGAGATGGGTTTGCAGTTCACATCAGCTTCAAAACCCTTTTCAGTACTCCAACCAGGAGGAGGAGGAGAAAACGTTTTCTCTTTCTCTGAGATGGATACCCCATGATCTGGAGTGAAAACTTCTCTTTCTCTGAGATGGGTTTGCAGTTCACATTAGCTTCAAAACCTTTTTCAGTACTCCAACCAGAATTTTTCAAGGAGTCTAACAAATTTTACCTCTAAATTTGATTAATGTAAGTGAATACCTATTATACGATATAGCATGGTGCAAACAGACTTACATCCTTCTTCTCCAGTGGTGTTAGAAAAGGGTCTCTCACACTGAGACCAGCAACAATGGTCAAAATTGGATCCAAACAGTTGAAGGTAGCACCTAATATCAACATCTTTCCCAGTTTTGGCTCCATTGGGAGCATGGTCAAATAACGACCTGTCAGGAACACTGAATGAGGTTATCTGTTCCATATTACAAAACCATACAATACAATTTTATCGGATGTTCCCGAAGGGACATCCATACAATACAATAAGCTATAATCATCAAAACGGAAAGTAGAACTAAACTTTACTTCATACCTAAAACTGTAAGATTTTCACTCTCGTCAAATGCCCCAATGATTTTAAGATATTCAATAGCATTCTGAACCTGCAAACAATAATTGACCAAAAATGATTGTAGCAAACGTGAAAAAAGTACAGATAGCCGATAGGGGATGTGAATACAAAAGGAGCTGATAGACAATGGAATGCAAAAGGTTTAAACGTGGCAACTTCACCATATACTGTATCCAGATTGAAATAAAAAGGGAAAACACAATTACCGCTAGTAGTTCTGGTGACTGCAAAGCCCTAGATAGAAACTCTGATATACTTCCAAGCTTTAAACTTTTTATTTGCAAGCAGAGGGACTGTAAAGGTGTTCTCAAAATTTCTGGCAGCTGATACTCAGCAAAAACATCAAACACGCACCTAGGGTATAGATGATAACATTCTCCTGGTTGAACACGGCCAGCCCTTCCTCTTCTCTACAAGGGGAAAAAATAAACAATCAAAACTAACAACTTGAAAAGATTTGAAATGCTGAAAATATCTAGAAACCTCCATACACACAATTCTCGTTGCTGTCCATGGTCAAACTCTTAGAAAAGGGATGGAGCAAAACACAAAGAAAATTCCAGACGGAGTAATGAGATTGCAAAGTTTACCCACACTCAAAATGGTCACGTATTTGATTGCATATTGCACATGTACTTCAGAAAAGAAACATTGGAGCAACAAGAACCTCCTGGTCTGATCTACAAGATTCATGAACTTTCTACCATAAATGAATGCTACCACTTATTAGTGTGTTGGGCCACACAGCAAAATTTCCTCCCCCCAAGGGTTAAATACATTTTTATATCTCATTCTTCCACGTTAATAGCATTTGTTTCTTACCTCGTATTGAATTCCAGGTTTAAAAAATTAAGAAAAAATCATCCTGATACTTGGTTAGGTTTGATTAAAAAGACAACTTCTGAGAACTGATTCAAAATACATATTAGCAATTAGTTCTATATATATAGTAGTTTTTAAAAGCTGGAAACAGGAGAATAATGCCTCCTATATTCAGATCCTATTCAGGAAGATACTAAATAATATCTACCAACATACAACCAGCCTTGTTCTTTTTTTAAATTTAATGTATACTGTATCCTGGTAGAGCAATTGGAGACAATGCTCTGCCCTAAGAAGAGGGCGAAGAATTAGTTCAAAAAAAGAAAAAACAGCAGCCATCATCCAATGAGGCTGCAAAATTCTCTCCAACACAGCAAAAGTGGGAAAAAATGCATGAGAAAAATGTATGGTATGTCAGTTATACGGAAAGTAACATTCAGACAAAAAAATAGAATGGAGATCTCACAAAGTTCCATGTATATGCCAACATCAAAGGGAGAGGCAGAACACATATCTTTAGCAAGAGAATATAACCTTACTTGTTGAGCAGAAACCTTGGATATCCAAGAGGGAAGCAGACAAGGAGTGTTATTTAAAGCATCATATGATGTTTCTTTCGCCTTTCCACAGTCCAGAACATACACAACATCATTTATCGTGATACTAGTCTCAGCAATATTTGTTGCAAGCACTATCTTCCTCACTCCTTTGTCAGGTTTAATAAATATTAACCTCTGCAGACATTTGAAATTAGCGTTGAAACTTTGATAAATATAAAAGTTTGAGGAATAAAATTTTAGAAAGAAAAAGAAAACAGCATAGGGTATATATCGGATCACATTCATGCTTTCACAGTCACTCAAAAAAGTATGATCATTTTTCTTTTTATCTTTTTTTTTTAAAGTATGATCACATTTATCTTTCTCAATCAAGATGAAAAATATTGGCTAACTAATATCTCATGCAGGAAAAGTACAAACAGAGAGAGAGAGAGATGTGGCAAATCAAATTGATCTATTTCCACAATACAAAATATTACCTGCTCTGTACTGGCCATAGAGCCATGGCATGCCAGCAACAAAACACGACTTGAATCACCTAGTAAAGGGTGAGCTAGAAGTTTTTCCTTCAGAGAACTGATGTCATCCCACCCAGTCATAAAAACAAGAATAGCTCCAGGAATTTCACTCTCACATATCCTGACTAGAAGATATTCTATGAGATTAAAACCAAGACAATCTGGATTCCAACATGATAAAGACTCCTGAGTTTGAAGACTGTACTCCTTAAAATCGGCAGCCATAACTGCATCCTAATTACAAAAGTTCCAAGAGGGAAAAAATGTTAGAAGATTAGGACTTTGAAGTATCAGTATATCGAAAAACTTCAAATACCTGGACAGTAGAGGCAATCTGAGTTTTCCTCTTTCGTGGTGCTTGTTTGCTCATTTTCCACGTTTTCTCTTGACCATAATCATCTATTTGATTGTATGGAGTTAATTTGTAACCAGTCATTTCTAGAATATCTTCCAGAAAATGAGTTCGGACAGGATGCGTGAATCCCTAATGCAGACCAAAGCAAAGGATTCAGCACATCTTTCAACAAAATTTCTAGTCCTTGATTTAAGCTAATTTCCACCAACAGGAAAAATATTCAAAATGAAGGTTTTGGAACCTTTCTATCCAAAATTTCCACTCACTATCCAACTCAAACAACCAACATTAGGAAATATAGCCTTCTTAGGGTTATTTAAATCTTAAGAAATAAATTCAACTTTTCAGTCTGTTGTCCCCTTGGCTCCAAGTTGGCCCCTTTATTTTCACAGATTGCCGATCTCTGGGAATCGTAGGATTGTTTATCTTTAAAAATCATGAGTCTGAAAATAATTACACAATAACCTTAAACAAGTCACAGTTCCTAAAACCTAATTTGCAAAAAACTCTACCAAACAGTCTTAGGTTTGAAACTCTGCAAACAATATGAATTCAGTTAAATGAAACCAATCTCCTTTACAACTATGCTCAACCCTTGGAGTTATACCACAAAAATGTTTTCGAACAAGAAACAATAGATAATACAAGTTAAATTATAAGATACAGGAGTAAGAGAATCTATAATGATGAATAAAGATTTTAAAAAAAGGACCGATCCCGTAAACTTTAAAACTCAGTCATAGAGGAGTAAGACTGAATGGCAGACTAACACTCATAACAACATTGAGTTCTCCAAAAACAATAAAAAATTTCTTGTTACCGGAATGTGAATTATTTGAGCCCCTCCAAAGAAGGATGAGAAAAGTTCTGCATCTAAAGTTGCACTCATTAGAATCAACCTCAATTCTGGTCGGCGAGGAAGGAGATCTTTCAGGACAATAAGCAGAAAATCTAGAATGAAAAATATTTTAAATGAGAAGTTATAATTTTCACTTTTCATAGTACAAAATCACCAATTCTAATCACTTTTCACCTTCATTCATTCCACGTTCATGAATCTCATCAACAATAACATGGGTTATGCCTTTTAAATTTCTATCTACCAACAATCTTCTCAACAAGATGCCGGTGGTGCAAAAGAGAAGATGAGTGTCCCTTCCTTTCATACCCTCCAGCCGCACTTTATAACCAACCTTGAAGAAATACATCAAGAAACAGAAACATTATCATAACCCATAATGTTAGATGGTAATGGTTTTTGTTTGACATTTTGAGCTACTTACAGATTCACCCAATTTCTCCCCTCTCTCAGAAGCAACTCTTTCAGAGACAGACATAGCAGATATACGTCTTGGCTGTGTACATATGATGCTACAAACAGCTCCACGAAGTGATTCTATTTCTGATTCCAGAATAAATTGGGGAACTTGCGTAGTCTTGCCACAACCAGTTTCACCTGATATAATAATAACCTGCAGAATCCAAATTCCAGCCATTACAAGGCAATCGAAAGCTTGGGAAATTATTAATTTTATTTTTGCAGTATACATTAATTACATGTCACAAAATAGTGAAAAATGAAACTCAAGGCGGATCTGACAAACAAAGTTAATATAATATGGGCGAGATAACGAACCAATATTCTTTTCCAAAACCATAATGTGAAACATTGGCTTTCAGAAATACATATACTTTAGAGGGTTCAAAATGTTTGAGTGTTCTTATAAGAAAGAGTTTTTTTTTTCAATTAAACAAAGAAGGACAAGAGATCCAATCTAACATATCTTTTTAAGAAACAATTACCTTATTTTAAGGGGAAAAAAGGTAAACAAATACAAAATAGAGGTTATAAGGCATCCATAAAAAACAAAGGAGATTCTAGAGAAGCTCTCCAATTGGTCAAAGAAAGAGAGTAATTAATTTATATACTGAAAAATTCTAATAAGAGACTCCAACTAGAAAGTGAAAAGAGATTACACCCCCAAATTTTTTTATAAGAGATTATACCCCCAAAAGAATTCAAAGATCCTTCCTAAGTTTTGATTATTTTTCTAATCTTATCTGTCCAAAGCTACCACAAAATTGAAAAAATGGAGTTGATCCAAAGAACCTTAGCCTTAGCCTTCCTCTGAAAGGATGATCTAAGAGGACAATGCGCAAGAACATTTTTTTAGCGTAGCAAATATGGTAAACAGAAGTGTACAGCATTAAACACCCAGCCCCGAGATCCGCACGAGTAGTCACAATCCAAGAAAGGATGATCAATGTCTTCCCCACTTGTTTAAAATAGTACACACCAAGACTAAGAGAGGGAGGAGCATGGATTCCTTTCCCAAATTTTCCGAAGTATTTACACCACCCAAAAAGAGAGTCCAATGAAAACTTGAAGTGGAGTGGATTGGAGTGGCATGGAGTGGATTCCTCATGTGTGTGTGCACACACATGCTCGAGTGGTAAGATGTAAAGAAAATTATATTGCAGAACAGTAGAAAAGCATATAAATAATGTAACAGCATGTCTAGGATAGACGAGTTATTTCTAGTGTAGTGAAAATGCAACTTGGCTACTAAATTGATATTGATGAGGATAGCAGTCAATAACAACTTATAAAGAAATGACGCATTAGCATGCAGGCAGGAGTAAGTTAAGAAGACACCGTATATAAATGTATAAAACCATATAAACCTGATTCTGTGAGATTGTGGACAATACGGCCTCCTTCTCCTTGTATGCAGGGAGATTTTTCCGGAATTCCAGCATTTCTCTTCCTTCAGAAGATGACTGGTTTTACAAAATAATGTATAAATCAAAAGGTAAATAAAAATATAATACCAGAAAAAAATTCTATGATTTGTGCCATGAGAAAAATAACTTAAAACCTGAAAGGTGAAACTATATCTTACTGGACAGGCTTCATTACCAGCAAGAGAAGAGTAAGAAAATGTAAGTGTGTCTACATAAAAGCTTTTGTCTAACTAAAAGATATAAATGTATCTACACACTTATTTCTAATTGAAAAGTCCCAACCAAATCGCTTGAAAATGAGAAGCCTGCTAATTTGAATTTGATCTCAAAAGTCATAAAAACAATTATCATGTCATTATTCAGAATGTGCAAACCTATGAACAAATTTCTTTTTTTTTTTTAATGAGAAAGACAACTTCCATTGAGATTGAAAGAATACAAGGCGGCAATACAAAAAATGAAAAACCCAGGCCAAAAAGGGAGCCAAGAAGCAACAAAAACAAAAGTAAAGAAAGAAAAACAGAAACAATTACAAAAAGGGCCTCTAAGAGATAAAGGATGATCATTGAAGTCCTATGATGGAAGCCCAAAGGGAGGCATTGAACTTGGCCAAGTCCCAAACCTCCTCCTACCTCCTCCTAGGAACTTTCCTTCTCACTTAAAGACTCTCCTATTTCTCTCAAGCTAAATATTCCATAAAATCGCCAAAAAAAAAAAAAAAAAAAACTCCCTGTCACACAAACATCATTTAGTTAAATTAAGAAGTACTGGAGTGATTTGTCAAACATTTGATTTTCTAGTGGAGAATTCTTTTAACAAGTTCAATTAAATTTTCTGTAACAAGTTCAATTAAAAAAATTCTCAACTAGCAAATCAAATTTTCAAAAAATCACTCCAGTATTTCCTAATTTAACTAAATGATATTTCATACATCAAATAGACCTCAACAAACTCGCTTTCTCAACTAGAAAAGAAAATAAATTCGGAGTAAACTTTCGAGCAGCAGGACTGTATTTCTAAGATCAAATCCACGCATTTTATAGAAACAAAAAGTTCTTGCATAAGTATTTAGAGAAGTTTGTAAATGCATCATGCTAATCATAAGACCACACCTGAGTCAAACCTATAATTTAGAAACTAAACAATTATTCAACCAAATGAATGCTCTAGGGGATAAAGCGAACAGATCATTTTATGGAGTTGAACCTGCCAAGCAAGCTGTTGATCACGCAAATGCAAACTTCTCCGCCAAAGAATCTTTTCCATCACAGCCTTACTAGATGCTTGTAGCTCAGGTTGCTCAAAAAGCCCTTCATCTGTAGCAATACTACCACTACTGCTCGATCGAGAGACAGAGATATCTTGAAAACCGTTTAACCTAGACTTTTGAGAGAGAAATTCTCCAATATGTGCATCAACTCTTCTAAGCAAGCCGGGAGGCAAAGAGACCTGTTCAAATTCAGAAAGCTTTTCAATTTCCGGAGAAATATGCATAAAAGCATACTAGGGAAAAGAAAACCCAGAAACTGTACACTTGAAAAGGAAGCAACAAGACCACTGTTCATTTATGTCATATTGAGGACTTAAATGATAAATTTAAGCAAAGCTGGCAATGATGCAAAGAAGAATGTGGCTTCCAAGTGAAATAGAGAAATGAATAAAACTTTGACAATTAGCACTGAGCAGATGGTTGTCAAAACATGTGAAACAAAAACGAGCTGTAAAATGAAGCAATGCTTATAATACCTCTCTCTGTGGACGCCGATCATCCAAATCAAATCTGTAGTTCGGTAATGGAACCTTACTAAAAACAGCGACTTTAGCATATAGATGGCTGCCAAGAACGACAGCCAGAACATTAAGAATCACAACCATACATTTTAGTGGTGACGCATAACATGTTCAAAAGAATAAAATGTTACCTAAAAAGTCCCATTCTACTTGCCAAATCAGCTATTTGTTCAAAATCATGTCTATCCTTTTTCTCCCTAGAAACCACCTCTTGCTTCTCCTTGTCGCGTAAAAGTAATGCTAACTTCCTTTTCCATACATCAATGTTTACAGAAGGTGAAACACCCTACACATATTTCAATAATGTATCATAACAATCTTGTAAGAAAGTAAATAAGCAAATATCCAACATATCAAAAAGCAAAGTACACATTCACATGCTACATAAATACAGCGTGATTGTATGTATACAAACACACATATTTATTCAAAAAACAGATATTACTATAAAATTCTAACTTCCTTTCCCATACATCAATGTCTACCTTCGTTTCTGAAATTCAGTCCCAGAAACGAGTAGAAACACAAACCAGCTGCTTTGAGAGGTGCCAATCAAATTTCTTGACGTTATCAAAAGTTCGTCCAAAATTCTTCTCGATTAAGAACAACGACTGAACAAGTAGTCTATATTGTCACTAGCAGCCCAACACCAATATACCTTTATCTATCAACCAGTCACCAAATGAGCATCATAGCCAGCATCTTAGGCCATCCATTAAAGAACCGAGTAAATAACAACAAAACGTAATCAATTGTTGAGCCACATAGAGCATGGCTTAATCAACACTTAAACTAGAATCAAAAATACCAATCCAGGAAAAAAAATGCCTGGTTCAAGTAACTGGAGCTTCAAGAGCGACTAAAAAGCTCAAGGAAATACCAAAACAGTCGACCTGAACTAAACCGCCCCAATCATAATTCCCGCTTGAGAAGCCAGGCTTTAAGTCAAATGCACGCCCACAATTTGACAGTAGGAAAAAAACGACGCTAATCAACTAATCAAAAATCAAGTAAAAAATGCAAAAAGAATCCAATCTCACCGGATGATGCGAAAACTCATAATCACAATCGTCGTGGTAGGCGGAATCATAGTGCACCGAATTGAAATGCGAATTCCCGGTGTGGAGCAGTTCCGGAGATCGAGTGTGCAAGTCAGACGCAGCAGTGGGTCCTGAATTGAGCAGCGCGACCGGAGCCTCCTTCAACTTGCAGTCAACAGCCGAAACAGCAGCAGAGGAATAATTAGAAGAAGTGATGACGGAGCGGAGACGCAGGTGAGGAGGGACGTAAACGGCGCCATTGGATGAAGGAGTGCGGTCCTTCATCGTGAGACGATGAGAATTGTAGGGTTTTAGGGTTTTGGGGAGAGAAGCTGCGTAACGGAATTCCAGGGACAGATGAGGAAGAGGAAGAAGATGAAGAGAAGATGAAGATTGCATGCAACGAACGAACGATGAGGAGTTCGGTTTCAGAGGGTGGAAATGGAGAGCTCCATGGAAGGCGAGGCGGCGGTGGTTTTGAGGTTTTTTCTTTTTTCTTTATTTTCTTTTTCTTTCCGTTCGAAATGGTGGCTGAGCACGGGGAGCGACAGTGAAGAGAGAACGGACAGTTTGTTTGTTTGTTTGTTCGGTCGGTGCAACGGCGCAGTCGAAGTCGAGCCTACTCCTCTCGAGTCCTCAGTCACACGCGCCATCCGTGGGATGACCCATAAACTTCCACGTCACCTCCGCTCCGTTACGTCCAGCGGGGCGCCCACGTGGATTTTTCGGATACATCTTTTTTTAGACAACACAATTTGTAAAAGTAAAAGTAAAACCACCGTTAAATTATGAAATTACCTACTTAAGTTTCCCTTGTAATTATGAAAACGTTTGGAATTAAACTTTGTCAGATCCTAATTGGAAGAAGACCATCCATATCGAGAAGTTGGCTTTTGTATAGATGACATTAATCTTCTTTGTTAGATTTTTTGTTTAGAATTTTGTTGAAAGAAATGGGAACCTATTATTGGAGAATTGACTTTAAATGTATATAACACGATTTTTTCTTTGCTTTGATTGGTTATCTTTCATGTGAATATATTTAATTTTTATGTAATCTATGTGACAGCTATTTAATTTAATGATTTTATTATTTTTTAACTAAATAGTTTAAATTAAAAATAATTTCATAAATTTTAAGGTATAATTGAAATAACAAAAACATTTTGTACTTTTCAAATATGATTATATTTGTTGATCCTCTTTTTAAATAAACGACATAGTTTTGTTATAGGAATTCTTTTTGCACATTTTAGAAGGAAGATAGCATGTTTCAATTTTGCCTTTGTTGGATTTTGGGCTCGCCTAGAGGGCAAGTTTCAGTTAGATTTTTCTTCGGCCCACTAGAATAATAACTTGGGCCATAACACCACCAACAATGAACTCTTTTGCTTTTAATACAGTACATAGACGTGGAGATTCAAATTCACAAATATAGGTGCATTAACCTAGCTATTCACCCATGTTTAGATTGATCATTTTGACGAGCCCTGTTAAAATTTTTCTATTGTTGTTTATACCATAGGCCACATTTAATATAACTATGGTCTATAATCTACGGTGTAATTTAAAGTAATTCTTTTTTTTTCTTCAAACTATTGTCTATTATTGAATTTCCATTCAAACATCAATAACGTTTTTAGCCATGGTCTTCAATGAATGATTATATTAATGGTTATTGGAAAACCTAGACTCACAACAGAAACGACTTATTATAAATTATTGTTTATGTTTAAAACGGTTATATTTTTGTTTAAAAAAATGGTTATATTTCATTAAATTATTGTTATATACAGATATGTTGATACGTGCATTAACATGCTACTTAAAAAATGGATTCTGTTAATGAGCAAATTAGATTTTAAGGATGAAAGTTCGATCTCATGTATCAAATAACGCTTGACGAGAGTGACATGCCCATATATTAAAATATATTAATATCTATTAAATTTTTCTTATCAATGTTTAATTTTTAATGCATTATTGACTAGGAAGTTCAAATTTTAGTTTAATTCTTATCAATATCTATTAGTTTAATTTTTAATGCATTATTGACTAGGAAGTTCAAATCCTATAATGACGTATTAAATCAAAGTATTTTTAAAACGTTTTCCTAATAAAATAATGGACATTAAATTTCTAATACAAAATGGCAAATTTTGAATTACCTAAAATATCAGTGACAATAACAAATAGCATTTTGCATTTTGTTTTCTCATTTAATTTTAGGGACAATTTTGAGTATTCTTAGTTAAGTACCATTTTCATTTATAGTACAATAAATATGGGACGGAGATTAAAGCTTCATTCTCTATAGAATGAACAAGATATCTGACTATTGAATTATGTACAAGTCGGCGCATTCTTGAATATATTTTAACTACGTGGTTCGTTTTTTTAGAAAACTATATTTATTTGATCTTTCCATTTTTTATTATCAATAAGCAACCACTCATGCTATTAGGGAAAAAAAAAAACTGAAAGCCCACCAAACAAACTGAAGTTGGTTAACATGATCATGAGTTATAGAAGGAAACCATATTTAAAAGACAACCCAAGCTTAGATTATACATTAGGTCATATTTGCTATCATATTATATTTACCCAATATCATAAATCAGATATACAACCAAAATGGAAGGAGAGAGAGAAAATGAAGAAGTTATTAGAATTTATTATTATTATTATTTCTCAAGACAGTAGAAAAGTAGAAAAATTAAAAAGATGAGTGTAAGTGATGCATTCCCAGCAGCAGCAATACACATTACAGCCGACATAGCTACCTCGTATGCATCTCTTACATCCCCCATTAATTTCCACACACAAAATGCAAAATTCAAATTAATAATTATAAATTACATAATAACATATCATCACTATAAAATTAAAAATAAATAAATAAAAAGGTATCATTTAATTCATTCGGACCGCTACCTCAATTCCCCGCATCGCAACGCAACGACGTCGCTTGCTCTGCCACTTCTGCTGATCATCTGCTCATAGAAACTCGGGAGACAGAAATTTGCAAAGCTTCACTTTTTTCTTTTCTTCTTTTACCCATTCTTCGAGCACAATAAAAAAGTAGCCTTTCCGGCCACCGTCTCGGCTCCATCTCCGCCGGCGCCGGCCGTCGGGGAGGAGGAAAGAAGT